TCGCTTCAACCTGATCACAAACTTCAGGAATGGATACTTGAAACTTTAGTGTTTGTGTGTGTTAGAGTGTGTGTTTGTGTATAGTTCTGCTTGTGTGCTTACAAGGCAGGACTTTTTTTTTTGTTCAGAATTCTTTGAACATGTTACTTGAACACATTCAACCTGTCCTGTCTGTTGCTGATGACTGTCTTAAATTACATCACTTAAAGAGTGTCTATTGCCAGTCCTTAAAACGTGGCAGGGCATGTTGTGTGACTTTCGTGTGATATTTATGTGTGCCACAGCTTAGCAAATATGTTTCTTTTAACCAAGATTGAGAGAGAATACTTTACAATATGTGTTTGTTTAAAAAAAAAAAAAAAAAATGTCCCATTAACACTGTCTTATCCTTTCAACCTCCATCCCTCAAACTTAGCCTCTCTCCCTTTCAGCTCTTCCTCAGCTGTTCCATGCCCCTGCTCCGCTGGATTGATACAATATTTTCCAACCTCAATTAGCAGTGAGCCTGTTGACTAATTCCAACTGTTTTTGCACCTGAGAGGGAGTTGGGAGTCGGGGATGGAAAAACTGAGTGGGGTGGAGGTGAGGGACGGGGCTTGGGTGTAGCAGGCAGAGCTGTCGGGGTAATGTGGCTGTGTCGACAAGAGTGTAAGGGCAACACAGAGGACAGAGGAGGGGTCAAGCAGACTGCCGGGTCGAGTTTGTGGAAGCTGCTCTGAAGGCTCAGGACAGCATTCTGAGCTCAGCTATCGTACGTTAAGCTCTGTTTTTAGGGTTTATGTCAGATCATACAATATATTTTTAAGTGTTTCAAATTAAATTAAATTAAATGAGTCCTTTTTATGAGACACTGATGTTGCACTCCAGTTTCTTTGTCAGCGCTCATGTCATTAAAAATGTACAACTTCCTGCTTGTCCTGCCACTCGCATGGCAAACCGTATCAGTATCAAGAAATGGTCAGGGTCAGGAGGCTTCAAGCCTGATTGGTAGCCCTTATACAGGAACAGAACTAGACCTCAAATCAACCTTAAACCAGATCCCCCATTGTAAATTGCAACCACAGACTGACCACAAGTTCTACATGAGCAAAGGTTTGGCACAGTGCTCGGCTCAGGACACAGGTAAACACCCTCGCTCTGTGTGAGCACAGAGAGGATCGTTCTTTCCACGAAGGAAATGAGATGATGATGGCTGAATGGTATGAGAACTTTACATTAAAGGGGGCTGCTCTTTTCATAAAGAGCTACAGTAAACACCTTAGCATTAATGACACTACAATAAAAAGAATAAACACACATTTCATAATCCTCTGGCATTCGCTATTTTCCAAAGAGTCTGAACAACTCTTCAAACTTCCTCATGCAGCCATAGTAGATCTATTCTAGTCTTCCAGCATGATATATGAAGTGTTAAATTCAGGCAAAGTCTGGGTGAAATATATTGTTATGGTAGCTGACACATATTACTACTAATATGCAAGAATAATGCCCCAACTGGGATACACTCGCGGTCCAAATTTAACAGTGTCATAATTCATCTCAACTTGAATTTCTACCTTTGTGTAAAGCGTTAAAGATTTCTGTCAGGTGACTAATCCCGACAGGTTAACAAATGTCATCCAGTCTGCAGCTTGGAGCTTATTGAAACAGTTGAAACAGACCGGTGGCCTATAGCTGGACTCTGGCCCCAGTAGCAGTATGGAAAACTCTGACTCACTCATTTATATAAAAGTCATGACCAACATTCATCATGTTGGTCACATTAATAATACAGTCAAAGGCATATGTCTCTAAGGATTCTCCTGTTGATGTTAGCTTTTGACACATTGTACCACTTTTTCTTTCTTGTGGGTCCTGAGGGGCTCAGCTTTTCTTGGATACAAGTAGGGAGGGGGGCTCCAAGGAAAAAATGTTGGGAACTACTGCTGTAGAGGCACCTCCAAGGTATCCCTTAACAACAGATTATGTGTAGACTACAATCTTTGCAGCAAATTAAAATATGATTGGCCTGCTTTGTTGCATGCTAACCAAAGTGATCACTTTGGAAATAAATGCTGATGCTAATATGATGCACGAAGTGAGGGGGAAGGAAGAGTAACAATAAAAGAGACTCTACAAAGAGACTGGACGTATTATTGCTAGAAAAACAAAGCAAAAACCTGCATTAAAAGGCTTTTTGTAGCACTTTGCATTGCAGTAGCATTATTCACGACTTATCAAATGAAAAAAAACACATGAATCGCTGTTAGCATTTGTTACAGAAGCATGTACAGCTGCTTCTACAATGCATGCACTCTCAGCAAAGTTTAGACAAGTTAATCCACACTAACATTGAAGCTTTTTTTTCCAAACCAAATTAGCATCAGCAACTGATGCTCAACGTCTCTCCTCAAGTCAGCTCTCCCGTACTGTCTGCCCTTTGAGGAGCTTTAATCCACTCAAGGGTATTCCCTCTTCACCTAGCAACGCGCCTCTCATGCTCCAAACACAACACACAACGCTCAGCAGTGATAGAATGGGATATCCCTGTGAACAGCTATAAAAGTGAAAAGATAAGAAAGTCCAGCGATAAGAAATAAAAGTGCAAACGTCACAGGGGATTCTGTCTGCTCAGTGACACCATTTGAGATAAAGAACTCAGCTGCGCCGGCTACTTACTGTCTGCGTAGTTCTTCCGCCGTGTGCCGTCCACCTTGCCGGTTTTGTCAATACAGAGGAAGAACTTGTTGGCAGAGTAGAGCCGCCGTAGTCGGACGTCGCCCTCCAGGTGATTGTAACTGCGTGTGTGCCTTTCCAAAGTCCATGAACAGTTGATGCCACTCGCCAGCACCTGAAGAGGTTCATGCCCTACCCCGGGCTGACAGGCCCCTGCGGCAGTGCCAGAGGTGGCCAGGAGCAGGGTGAGGCATGCCAGGCACAGGGAGGCTGCACTGGGCAGGGGGACAGGTCGCCCAGGAGAGGTGGTGCCAAGGGCAGGCTCAGGACAGAGATGAGCTAGGGACGGCGTCCATCTGCACATGGTGGGTCAGACTCCCAAGGTGCACCTTGTGCAAGCTGTAGGCATGCTGGTGATTGGGAGACAACCCCAATGGAGGTGATGACAGGAGGGTGCAAGTCCTAGAAAGAAAAATGATGGAAATGTCTCTCAGAGCAGACCCTCTAGATGTCACCGATCTTCACTCTGGGTTGGCAGCAGGACTTCCTACTGAAACTAGCTTGTCAAAGTTTCTCCAGTTGTCATCTTCAGCTGGTTTTCAATTCTTTGTCCGGTCCTTTCATAGAGTGCTGTAATGTCACAAACCCATCTTTAAAAGTTTGTCTTTGGTGTCCTCCTTGTTCTCTGTTTTCTCTCCTCCTTGGTCTGAGGTCTTCTTTCCTGTACCAGAGATAAAGTCCTGGGATGTATGAGGATGTGCATGTGTGTCTATATGTGTATAAGTGTTTCTGTGTGAGTGTGTATTCAAGTATGTGTGCGTGTGTGTGTGTGCACCTTGCGATGCTCTAAGCTTTCCAGCTGAATAGGAACAAGGTGTCTGTCTGAGCTGCTGACCCGTGGCTGAGAGGGAGTTGAATGAGTGACTCTGTATGTTTGTGTGCGTGTGTGTGTGTGTGTGTGAGAGAGTGCACGCGTGTATGAGTGTGTGACACTAAGAGAAAGAGAGAGGGATTGAGCAAGAGAGTGAGGGAGGGAGAGGGAGTTGGTGTGCGTTTGCAAAAGAGAGAGCGAGAGAGAGAGAGAGAGAGAGAGAGAGAGAGTGTGCCTGGAAGTGTCAGAGTGAGCGGCAGTCAGCGGGTGTGTGTCAGCCTGCACGGGGCAGTGAAGCAGTGAGTGAACAGCCTCACGCTCTGCTGTGTGCAGTCAGTCAGTCCTCTCTTCTGTGGAGGCATAGGCTGAGCTGTCCTGCATTTTATCCTGGGCAGGGCCAGCATCTAGGGGCTTGAAAGGAGAAGGGTGGAGGGAGGGTGGGGCCACGGCACTCATTCATAAACATTTCAAACAATGAAAAAGCCTCCATAAAGCACCGTCCTCATTTTATCCTCTCTCTGAAAAGTTTATTCTGAGTCATTTGCTTTTCACCTGAGGATTATCTATTTTCCTCCCTTCTTTTTTTTTTTTTGTCACATAAACCTAAAAAAACGTTAAATCCCCTTCTTGTCCCATAACGTCTACTGTATCCCCTCAATGTGACAATGGTGTATTTTATTAACATGGGTAAATGGGCTCCATTGCTGCCGACTGAACCCCTGAGACGTTTTCTGGACACCTTTGCCTCTCTTTTCTTCTCTCTGGACACGTGGGGCACATTAAGGGAGCCTTTCCGTTTTTTTACGGCTCCTGGTTTGAATCATCAAGCGGTCGCGAACACAGAGCAGGTTACAGGAGTGTCGGTGGAGTTAGTCCAGATGAAGCCTGAGAGACTTTCTGATCACCTTTGTTAATATTTCAATGAAACACCCTCTCTGATCTTTCCTATTTAATGTGGTAGTGCGGGACGGAAATGAAGAACCCCTTTTCTGTGACTTTTTTGCACTCTTGTCTGTTTTTTACAACCTGTGCGGTGAACCTGATTAGGACCAACATAAAAATCCCGCCAATATATTCCAGTTAGCAGGGATGAATCTGTATCTTTGACATTAGCTAAGATATAGAATTATTTCAGATGATAACGTGAAAAATGATACTTAAAAATATCAGGTTTGACATGTTTGTGAGCAGTATGTTTTTTTTATTGCTTGAAGTTAATTAGGTATGATACCACTATCCAGTCCCTATAAGAAGTCGCAATGACATTTTGCCTTTATTAGTACAGCTGAAAAGGTTGGGAGCAAAGAGTGGGGGATGACATGCATCCAGGGCCATGGCCGGACTTGAACCGACGGCCAGTTTCGAACCGACGGCTGCTGTGATGAGGACCACAGTCTCCGCACATGGGGCATGTGACATAACGACTAGGCTATCTGGTGTCTAGATATATAAATATATCTTCCTATATAAACTCTATACAGTAAGTAACAGGTACAGTACAATACTTAATGTTTCCTTGTTATAATATAACAATAGCTGTCCACCTAATCATCCCATGCAGCCTTGAGTTTAGTCTGATGTCCAATCAGAAGCTTTGTTCCTCCATCCAGCCAACAAGAGGCTCTATTACTTATGTGTCTGTCAGTGATCTTAGTCATGATTTTGTTTTATGATAAAAATAGCAATATACCAAACTATCCCCTAAATTCCCTGGAAAATTCGAAAGCAACTGCTGTTCATACTTGTCTTTAAATTTAAGCAACAGCAAGTAACCAGAAATCCTATTTCTACTCCTTCTACTTTTTCCAAACAGATGCAAATAATAATATCATTTGTAGGCCAGAGAAAAGATTTTGGTGTAAGATATATTATGACTTTACTTTTTATGACTTTACTTTTGAGTAGTACCAACCAATCAAGTCACAGCACCAAACAGTTGTATGTAGATAAAGTGAGTGTGGAAAACAAGAGTGGTTAACATGTAATCAAAGTAACTATAATCTATCTACAGCTGACAAATACAATTTTTATAGATCTATATAAATAGATTCCTGTACAAATAATAATCTGGTCGCAGATATCATCCCTCAACTTCAACTCCTCTCTCATGTCACAAGTAGCTAGTCCAACAGTTCTGTAAATCCTCTGGCTACAGTAGAAGTCCAGGAATACTGTCTGTCGGCCACAAAGGATTCATCTTCTTCAGACAATAGTCACTTGGTTCCAAGATTTCCAAACTGTAAATTTTTTAATTAACTCATTCTGATTGGTTGAAAAGTATCTGAAATTTGTCGCAATTTTCCCAAGGGAGTTGATACTGGGTCCTGAGGTTAGACCATTTGAGAACCACTGTTCTTGTCTTTGTACCAAAGTACCAAAGCTAACTGCCTGCTGTATCTAGCTCCATTTACTGCACATCATGAGTGATAGTGAATTGGCTGCAGACAACAGATGTGCACTCGTTTTTTTCACATAACGGTCAGCAAACATGTTTTGTGAATGTGCTCAGGAAATCCACATGTGACCTCCCAACAGCAAGAAGCCCCTACATTTGTTGTATTTGGCTGCACAACAAAGGTTTCCAAAAGAGAGAATTGAGTGTCTGACAGCTTATTGAGAGGATGGAAAAAACAATTCATGAAACAGGTGTTGGTGCATTCATTCCGTCTTCTCGGACCGAGGAAGATGATACAATTTACATCATAAGGCCAAGCAAATGCAGCGACCAAAAAAGAGAGATTGACTCTTCATGAAAATGCAAAGGTTCTTGGGCCTGTCTAGTTAGCAGTGGCAATGGCCTCTCTTTTAAAAGAGTCACTGTTTCAATTACGAGTACCACCCTGAGGCAAAGCTTGTCCGGCTCTGGCTCTAGAAGTGTGTTTGAGAAGTATGTGCTCAAAGAGGGTGACAGTCACTTCACACTCTTTAGCTTGTTAACTGCCCCCAGAGACTTGCTGTCCCCCTAGCCCCTATTTAAACCCTAACATCATAAAAAAAAAAAAAAATGTGAAAAAAAGACCACTCACCTCTTTCTCCAAGCTCTCAGCTCCAGCCCCCATATCCCCCAAAGCCATTCCTGCCACTAAGTTCTGGTCTTTGGTGCCCACCAGGCTCCTCATCAAAGCCACTTTCAGCATAGATCTATGCTGGGACCTTCGTAAAAAAAATCTCCCTCTTTCACCCTCAATTAAACCACACTACAGTGGCTAATAATGTTCTCTGGTCTTCTGTTCTTCATAGCTTTTACTCACAACCCTTCTGAACTTTCTGACATAAGGACATGAGGACATCACGAACTGGTGGGATTAAGAGAAAGAGATGAAGAAAATGTGTTTTCTTGTTAGTGTTGTAGGAAGGTTTTTTCCAGATCATTAAGAAAATCCCAACATGTACAATGATTTGTAGGACATCTAAGTCGTTGTAAAGTAAACAGAGTTAAGCTGCATTGTAGGTTCCATGTCTCCATCAGCAGTGTGATAGGTCAAATTTCCAAAAGTTATACAAGGTGTTTGAATAGCTGCTGCAATGCTTTTAAATACACAAAAATATAGAATGTTTTAATAAAGAGTATAATGTGAGGCCCATGATGCTGCATGAAACTATTGGTTACTTGGTTATTTATTATGCCATGTTTTCTGTTTGAGTAGGTCATATTTCTTAAGAACAGATGCCATTGTTTTAAAATTCAGTCATTGAAGTTACATTATAATTTGTGACTTTTTTGATCACCTAATTGTCATGTAGAGAGGCCGGTCAAACAAATCAATCTGTTGTCCCAAAATTAAAAGCACAAACTTATTTTTAGGATAAAGATCCTTTTAGAAGGAACAGTAAATATATACTGACATTTAAAGAAATAATCAGTTAACTGCTTATTTGTCAAATATTCAAGATACATTACTTTGAACACTAAGTCAGTAAGAACTTAAATGTATTCCAACCAGTCGTGTCAGATAATATTATTACGATGTAGGAAAGAGGATTGCATTGTCACCGTGGATGTAATTAAAATGCTTTTTATCCCCGCTGACTTGTATCTGGTTATGTCTTTCTTTTGTAAAATAATTTTAACTTTCGTGTAATGGTGGACAACTTAGTTTCGCTTGTCTTTCTGCCAAACACACAAACACATGCAAACAAACCAGGGATGTTCCGGTCCTTTTTGCTTTGCCGAATTTCCCTGTAATTAAAATCATACAATCATTGGATGTACTGTAACTTCTCAAAAATCCGATTGGCCCCTGAGGTCAACAACAAAGAGGGGGCCTCATGTGAGTGTCAGATGTGGCGGCAGATTGCTTTGTGGTGTCTTGGAAGCAAATGTTAAGTCTATGAGCTCAGTGTTCCTGTGGAAACAAGCATAATGTATTTCTTTGTTAAATGTTGTAATGTCCAATCTGTCTCTATTTTACCATCAGCGTCTTTAGCCTTTTTACATTGTCAGTTCAAGGCGGGATATTTACGCCCCTGTGCAGTCTCGCCTTCAGTGTAAATGTAACGGAGGTGTAATGGTGGGACCAAGTCGTCAAACGCCAAAACCTGAAATGTAAATCTCTTATGGCTTGTTGCAAAATCACAATCTTAAAAGGGCTTTTGACATTCAAAATCATAGGGATTTAACTATTTATTTTAGTAGGTTTCAAGGGCTTAGCGAATACTAAGGAATACTACATTTTTGTTTAGAATCAAGTCAGACTGTAAACTGCTGCTTAACTTCTCATGACCGATCAGAAACAGAAACGTCTGGTGCTAGCAGCTCTTTGATGATGATATTCATGATTTGAATAAAATGATGAAACACAGTTTCATCATTTTAGTTTTTGGCTCATAACCATGCTCAAGTTTGCATATTAGCGCAGGCACTGAACTACCGTTGAAACAGACTGGAATGCTCGCAAGATTAAATGTATTTAGTTACAAACAAAGGTATTGATACAATTAGACATTTGACTAAAACGGCACAAATCAAATGGTTGGGGGATTAATAATTGATAATACTACTTGCTAGGTGGAACATGACTGTTCCACATTTTCTGACAAATCATTGAGATTTATCCTCTGAGGGTCTCTATTTTACCATCAGCGTCTTTAGCCTTTTTACATTGTCAGTTCAAGGCGGGATATTTACGCCCCTGTGCAGTCTCGCCTTCAGTGTAAATGTAACGGAGGTGTAATGGTGGGACCAAGTCGTCAAACGCCAAAACCTGAAATGTAAATCTCTTATGGCTTGTTGCAAAATCACAATCTTAAAAGGGCTTTTGACATTCAAAATCATAGGGATTTAACTATTTATTTTAGTAGGTTTCAAGGGCTTAGCGAATACTAAGGAATACTACATTTTTGTTTAGAATCAAGTCAGACTGTAAACTGCTGCTTAACTTCTCATGACCGATCAGAAACAGAAACGTCTGGTGCTAGCAGCTCTTTGATGATGATATTCATGATTTGAATAAAATGATGAAACACAGTTTCATCATTTTAGTTTTTGGCTCATAACCATGCTCAAGTTTGCATATTAGCGCAGGCACTGAACTACCGTTGAAACAGACTGGAATGCTCGCAAGATTAAATGTATTTAGTTACAAACAAAGGTATTGATACAATTAGACATTTGACTAAAACGGCACAAATCAAATGGTTGGGGGATTAATAATTGATAATACTACTTGCTAGGTGGAACATGACTGTTCCACATTTTCTGACAAATCATTGAGATTTATCCTCTGAGGATCATGAATGTTTGTCCAAAATTGGAATAGTTGCAAAGACATTTTCTGTCAGGTCAGGCATGGACCACTACTGTCATTAGCAGAGCCATACTATCAAAAAACATGACTGGTCTGGTGCTGCGATTTCATGAGACCTCTGGGTACCTCCACATACCTGATGATGCCTGTGTGCAGAGCATGGATTACACTGGATCTTTATCCCCCTGTTGAGCTGACTTGAGTTGAGTTATGCTGTGTGGGTGTGCCCTGAGCTGAGAACAGGGCTCTCTGAGCCAGGCACCCATGGAGGATGTACTCAAGTTGGGGAACCTAATCTGTCCCAGCAGGAATCCAAGCGGCTCTGTAAGTGTATGAATAGAGATAATATCTCTATAATGAGGCCTGTTTTGTACCATCAAAGTCTTCAAAAGGGTCTGAAACCCGACCTCCCTCCTAGCACTGACAATCCCCTCAGTAATAGCTCCCTATTATTAATTGTTTTCCCTGTTTGCTAAGTCCTTGGTCCCCTCTTTCTCTTTCTCGCTCTTGTTGATGTATTTCAGCTGATCACCCATGACTTAGTGCTTTTAAGTGTGCTGACCTGTGTATTTATTTGTTTTTCTCTTTTTAAAAGGAAAGTGTTTCCAGAAATACAGCATTATACTTTTTCTTTATCACTTGAGGAAATTACCTCACACATAATATTCATGGGTAGTAAATTCCTATAATTTCAACTGTTCTGTCATTTAGCCTCTCGGCACGTCCAATGCTGCGTGTGTTGCAGCGTTAGCCACATCACAGGTGTGCTTGAAGTGTTCAAGCTGGGTGCTGTGCTTGGCTGACAAACATCCGGACGTGGTTATAGGAACTGACCAGATCACCCAGACTTCAGCCCCAGTGACAACATGGCCCTTTGCATATCCTGCTTCGTGACCATTGTCTATTGTAAGAGGCAGTGTGATAAGTGGGTCGTCTATCTGATGCTGTGGAGAGTTCTGAAAGATCCAGCCACCCAGTTCTTCACAGGATAGCAAGCAGAGATCAAAACCACTGATATTGCTTGATGAAAAATGTGACTTGTCAGAGGTGATTTAACATCCGCACACTGCTAATCTGAGAGATCTGACGCAGGGGAAGAGGACAGGACAGGATGGAGGTGGTATACAGTAGGGATGGGAAAGCACTTTTACATCTCAGCTGACTCAGCATTTCTTCTCTCTCCTTTCAGTGCAGGAGCTTTTTTTTGAATGTTGAGGTTGAGCATAATTAAAGCTTGAAGTATACATTGTTCTTTTCAATCTATTTCAATAGAACTCACTTTGTAAGTATGACACATCTTAAGACATCATAACAGCCTAATTTATTGGATGCATCCTTGTTTGGGGGAATCCTGTAAGAGCTGTGTGAGTCACAGCATCCAGTAATGGCCTAGTGGATCACTCTGATGTCAGTCTTTTAATGGACAGTAATGGATATAAAGTGAATTATATGATGACTAATATTTCATAATTAATGTTTGTATCAGTGATAAATAATTTAACAGCAGATTTAATCAGAATTTAACAGAAGTTTTCAATCCGCTTGTGATACGTATTCCCAGATGTCACAGAAGTGGAGCCTCAAAAGGAAGTTTCTTAAGAAGCAGCCCCCCTCCACATGGTGACAGGTTACTAATTCCTTGTAAGTGATGCAGAGACGCACACAAGAGACTCACGCAGGCACACAAACACATGCCAAATGCATTTACCAACACAAGCATCTCACGGAGAAGTTTCTCCATCAAAAACAAGCTCTCTCTCCATCTGTTAAACAAATAGGGAGCCCCTACAAAGGTGTGCAAAAGAATCCCCATGATCAAAGTGTATGAGAATGGCAGCCTTGTCCCGGCCTGGCCATTATCAGGCCCCATGAATGCCTGTCTTCTCCTCTTTTGTCGGCCAGGGCATTGACAGTCACTCACCCGGCAATGACTGTCACACCAGTGCAAAGAGCCAGCCGCCGACAGGGGCCAACCACATCAAACGAGGCTGTCAAGGGGCCCTGCTCGTGAACCGTGGCAACAAACACCTCCTGATCCTCACCTACAGCTCAGCAGCAGACACCCACCGCTGTGCTCTCAGCCACTGCCTCCACTGAGAAAAGATGTACTGCCTGGACCTCATTTCCCTCTCTGCCCCCCCTCCCCTCACCCAGCACCACCATCCTCTCTCTCTGTCAAGTAGTGCTTGTGTTAACCTCCAGCCTGCCGAAACAAAAAAGGGCCGCTAGAGTGTTTTAGAATGCTTTATGGATGCGTGACAAGGGAAGGCTGAGACTACTGGGGGTCAGAGAGCATACAGGATATGAATGAGATACAGTTTTACATTGAATTTGGAGCAGAGTCACACTTGTTCTGGACTGTAAAACGTTTGAAATTCAAAAGCAGACTGAAGGAGGCAGACAGTCATTTTCAATAGACTGTAACAGGTACTGTGGTGAAGCCAGCATGTGCTCAGGCAGCATTTGTTTTTAACAGAGTTCAGACTGGATGCAGTCTTGTTCCTCAGTTGATTAGGGGTTCTTATCAGAAGTAACAATAACTGTATCAAAGTAACTGGTTTACAATTCTTGAGACAACATACCCTCACCTGTTTAAAGAAGTTTATAATGTGTATTAGAAAACTTCTACTCATTAAAACAAGCTTAAAACTGTGAAAACATCACATTACAAAAACTCCACAATTAATGTTGAAAGTCTTTGGAAAAATAATTTACAAATTTACCGGCTGAAAAAAAAAAACAGGACTTTTGTTCAGAGACAAAAATGTAGAGTAGCTAATTTTGCAGGACTGATGTGTGTTTAACACATTTAAATAGAACAAAGCACATACACCGAAAACAAGAGCATGGGGGCGCTGGTGGGGCATTGGTTAGTGTGCGCGCCCCATGCATGGAGGCCGTAGTCCTCCAAGCGGCCGGCCCAGGTTCAAATCCAGCCTGTGGCTCCCCTCCCGCATGTCAATCCCCTCTCTCTCTCTCCCTGATCTCTGACTCTATCCACTGTCCTTTCTCTACAATAAAGGCACAACAAGCACAAAAATAAATCTTAAAAAAGCAACAAGAGCATGGTCATATGTCCTTGCTAAATTCAACTGAACCTGTGTCTTTAAAATGACATGATTTACCTATTCAACATCTCAGTGAACTAACAAACAGGTACATGTGATATAAAACATTTGCATGTACCAATCAATGTAAGTCTAATTTTCACATTGGACCGTTTGACCTCTATTCCACTTTGAGTGGGCCTTCATGTGGGGAGACTGCCATCTGCAGGCCAGAAGAAAATTCAACATTCATTTCAAACCCCTAAGATGCAGACAGTGAACATTTCAGTTGCACTGTAAAGACAGAAAAATAAAAATAAAACATATTTTAGGAAATGTTTAGCATTAAATAATTGGATACCTGCCTGTTAAGTTCTGATGAAAGATGAGACTTAATTGACATAATGGGCCTGATAACTAAAACTAACTAAAAAGCCCCAAGACACAAGTGGAACATTTTATGACCTCGGCATTTTGCTACCAACTTTCAAAGTTTTTACGTCTGAAACTTTCAGTTACCATACAATTAGTTATAATACCTTGTATCAAACAACAAGTTCCCTTGTTGCTAAATGCTCAGTTTCACTTTCAACCCATTAACCTACATTAATCCCACAAAGCTTAATTAAAAAATGTTGTCACCTTAAGTCTCATATAGCCATAGTTGATTTTAGAAGTTGTAAATCCAACACTATATGACCTTGTGAAATTGAAACTTTTTGAAAGGACATGACAACTTGTTTAGCAATTTTGTGTAATGGCACAAAAATAAAACACATTTGCAACTCACTTTTTCTCACTTTTTCTCACTCTTACTGGCTCTGTTCAACATATAGGTCGAGTGATTAGTAACAAAATATTCAAAGGAATTGGAATAAATAGAGCCTACCTCATATTAAAAAGCCAGGCTTCCTTAAGTGTGGCTTTTTTATCTTCTAGTTGGCTAATGTCAATTAATGTCAATGAAATCCATTAACAAAGAAATTAGCCTAACTGAAACTCGATTTATCTGCCATCTACTAAGCACGACTTTAAGCCTACATCGATCGCGACTAGCGACTAGCTTGTCTTATTTAAGATGGCTGCCTAGTGCTCGGTAGTAACGCGGTTATGGATCATTACATGTCAACATGTCACTTCTGAGAGTGTCTGCCTTTGTTAAATGCCTTAACCGTCGCAGTTTGTTTGAAAAGTGTGCTGTTCGCGTGTCTTTTGCGGACTGCTGTCGGCTGTGTGTGTCATTAAGGAACAGTTCAGTCAGGAGAATATCAGGTGAGCAGAAGGAGACTGTCTGTATCTCAGCACAGTTACAGTGTGATGCACATGTTTTACTGTCATAACGCTTCAATGTGCATTAAAATCCACAATGTGCCGAATAGTTTGACGAGCATATTGCTGGATTAGCTCATGTGAGTCTGCAACTTTTAGTTAAATGATTGTTATTGAGTCCATGCCTGAGACCTTTCTTAATAACTCATCCTAAACAGTCTTGTTGTAGTCCACTTTGCTGCACTGTGAGGTTGAAGCTCAGGTAGTGACCCAGGTGTAGCACAGAGCTCCTTCTATTTGTTGACATAATAACACCAAAACTCTGCTCATTTGAATGTAAAGACTATAAAAGATGAGCTGTAAAAGTTTGTGAAGGGAGATCACTGTTGTTTGTAGCTTTGAATTCTGTCTTTCTTGTTGTATTAATGCATGACGTAATTATTATTTATTATATTTCATTATATTATTGTATATTATTTTTGTATTGTTTATTTTGACAGGGACAGTGTACAACCATTTAGCTGTGCCAGAGTTTGCTCTGAGCTAATTTACACATGTAGTCCCTGGCAGGAGACAGACAACCTCTTTGTTAAAAAATAAAACATCTATCTGACAACAATACATAACCAGTGCACTTTACAACAACATTTCATTAATCCACAGTGAAATTCACAAATAGAATTAAAACAGTAATAGTTTAAATACTTTGCTAATGTATAAAACTGATTTTGTTTTTCAGAGTCTCCCTTTCAGCTCCAAAGAAGAAATGTTTCATTTGTTCTCCCGAAGGCAGATGATGGAAAGAAACGTGTGCTGGAGCAGTCTCAGTTGTTAGATGGTTTGTTATTTTAGGCAGCTTTTCATTTTGAACTCACAAATGATCCTTTTCAAAGTCAATTTCACCTAAAGTTCTGCTATATCAATTTCTCTGACTTGCTTATTTTTTTGCCAGCCAAAACTGCATTAGCCTTTTATTTATTTTACAACCAATAAATCTTTATTATTCCTACTGAAGGCAATATGTTTGGACAACATTTGTAACGTTTCATATAACAAATAAAGCAAACCTTAATATATGAAACAAGATCTGAAATGAATCCTGATGATTAGGCCAGTAGATGAACAATTTGGATTAGAAAATAAACTATGAGTCTTAATTCAAGGATAATCGGATCAGTCTGTCATGAAATATTAAACCTATTAAGCAGAGAAGCAGTAAGTGATCTGATTGAAGAAGAGGATGAACAATTGTAGTTTTAGTTTTACAAGCAGATGAAACGTAAGAGTGTCCTGATGGCAACAGAGAAAATGCACTCTCTAGATAATTTCAAGAAAAAGTCTGAATACTTGCAGCTTTCTGTAAGGTCTGAGAAAGAATTCAGATTTGGTTGTCCAAGGTTCCTAATGATAAACGAGACAGTACACAGGTCCTGATGGACCTCATGTTGTGCTCATTGTGTGTGGAGTATTCCTTGATTCATGAAGGGTCTTTGTGTTCCTAACTTGGTTCCTGTTGTATTTGTTTCAGACTATTTTTGCTACCAACCTGTGAGAAGAGTTGTTAGGCCTGTTGCACCATATTGTTTCTTTTTTTCTGTATTGATTTTTAAACGCTTAGTCGCTTCTTGTGTTTACTGATGTAAGATCCCTTTCTGTTTTTCCCGTCAGTGCTTGAGGCAAGGATACACCAACTCCAGTCTGATGTCGTTCTAGATTTCCAGCATGCAAAGGTGCAGTTTGTTAAAGCCCCTTCCTCTGGGAGAGGGAGTTTATCCAGTAAGGGTCCCAAAGGTGGCTCTCAAGAAAAAACTGACATTACAAAATCAGGACAGACTGCTTCAAAGGCAGCCACTAAATCTCAGCCCAGCAGATGGATGGAAAAGTTATCTCGGGAGAAGAAAATCAAACTTAAGAAACAGCAACACATCCAGCAGAAAATCCAGAATAAGCCTACAGCCAAATCTAAAGGTAGCAAAGGCAGCTCCATGCTCCCTGGCACATCGCACAAGACTATTTCTACCACAGCTAAAAAGACTGTACCCTCGGTTAAGAAAAGCAAAGATCACAAGAGGTTGGCTGATGAGATTCAGGCTGCAGTTTCTTCAACTGCTTCCTCCACTGCTGCTTCTGCTGCAGTAGTGATGGCAGCCATGCCGCATAAAGCTGCTGAAGGAAAACAGAAAAGGCTGAAAAAACAGGTTCCTACTGAGAGAGCCAACAGAAAACTGTTACTGATGCTGAGAGCAGGGCCAACGAG